CTTTCTTTCTTTCTTTCTTTCTTTCTTTCTTTCTTTCTTTCTTTCTTATCATATTCATGTAGTGTATATTGGAGGTGGTCTATTCCTATTCTATTTTATTCTATCTCCCTCCTTCCTTCCCTCCCTCCTTCCTTCCTTCTTCCTTCCTCCCTATCCCTCCTTCCTTCCTCCTCTTCTCCCTCCCTCTTATCTTTCTCCCTCCTTTCCCCCTCCCTCCTTCTCATCTCCCTCCCTTCGACTCTCCTTTCCTTCCTTCCTTCCTTCCTTCCTTCCTTCCTTCCTTCCTTCCTTCCTTCCTTCCTTCCTTCCTTCCTTCCTTCCTTCCTTCCTTCCTTCCTCCTTTCCTCCCTCCCTCCCTTTCTCCCTCTTGAGTGTTCCTGAACTGGAAACTTCCTACTAACAATGTTGGATTACAATTTTCAGGGTCTATTAATGGCAGTGATGGCTCGGGATGGAGAAAGTTTATCCATCTGGAGGAAGACACCAAGTTGTGGGGGTTGGATCCATACATATGCAACAGTTGTAAATATGAAAAATGTCATTTTTTTTCAAATCCATTGTAATTTTGAATGGTCACTAAATGAATGATTGTAAGATGAGGACTACCTGTATTAATATCCCGGCCCACAGGAGATAACGGCCTGTTCATATAGCCCAAGAAGTCAGCTTAATGATGGCTATCTAAGATGTACTACTGTTACCAGTAGTTAGTATCTGAACATCTTTTGCGTTGGACCAACACAATTCTGGGAAAGTGAATACTGGGAAAGTGAATAACAGAATAACAGAGTTGGGAGGGACCTTGTAGGTCATCTAGTCCAACCCCCTGCCCAAGCAGGAGACCCTACACCATTTCTGACAGATGGCAGTCCAATCTCTTCTTGAAAACCTCCAGGGATGAAGCTCCCACAACTTCCGAGGGCAACTTCTGTTCCATTGGTGGATTGTTCTCCCTGTCAGAAAGTTTCTCCTTATTTCCAGGTTGAATCTCACCTTGATCAGTTTCCACCCATTATTCCTTGTCTGGCCATCAGCTGTCTTGGAGAATAGCTTGACCCCTTCCTCTTCCTCTCTGTGGCAGCCCCTCAAATACTGGAAGACTGCTCCTCCGTCTCCCCTGGTCCTTCCCTTCCCTAGACTATCCAAGTGCCTCCTTCTGCTCCTCCCTTGTCCAATTGGCCTGACCTCGAGAGCAACCGGACAGCATGAACATTCATGTGGTGGAACAGCTCCTTCATGGTCATCTCTCACACTCTCAGGAGGTGTTTTGCAAGATCAGGCTTGCTTGGAATCGGTTTGGAAATAGGGCAAACTGAATGTGATGGATGTTTTGAGACCAGTAATCGCTGGACACTGCCCAGAGGCATGTACCGTGACTCGGGCGGCTCTATCCATTTGATTAATATGTAAAATAAATATATACAGGCTGTCAAGAGGGGCGGAGGGCTAGGAGAGGACATGTTGACACCTTTTAAGATACCAATGTCAGCCTAATTATGGTCTTGGACCAGAACAGACTGTAGAAGGGTTGATTTATGTTTGAGGTACTAGAGCACTGTTTCTCAGCCTTATGTGTGTGGACC